CATTAGGATTTCAGGTCCTGGTGGGGATTCAAATTCAGTATCTGTGGTCCTTTCTAGGGAAACCCTGGCCTGGAGATTTCAGGTCCTGGTGGGAATCCAAATTCACTATCCGTGGTCCTTCTCAGGGAAATTCCTCCCTCCTGTGCCTCTGTTGAGCTCAGGCTGACAGGAATTTGGCAGCTTCCCTGACAGGGATGAATCAGTGCCTGGAAGTGGAAAAGGAATTTCAGGGTTAGGAAACAATCCATAGCCTTGATCCCACAAAGCCTCTGCTCTGGAGCCAGGCTGGGAGAGCTGGGGGGGTTCACCTGGAGAAGAGACAGATCCAGGGAGCCCCTTGCAGGGCCTAAAGGGGCTCCAGGAGAGCTGGAGAGGGACTGGGGACAAGGGATGGAGGGACAGGACACAGGGAATGGCTTTAACTGAAAGAGGATAAATTTAGATGGGATATTGGGAAGGAGTTGTTGGCTGGGAGGGTGGGGAGGGACTGGAATGGATTTCCCAGAGAAGCTGTGGCTGCCCCTGGATCCCTGGAAGTGTCCAAGGCCAGATTGGAGCAACCTGGGCTGGTGGAAGGTGTCCCTGCCCATGGCAGGGGTGAAATGGGATGATCCTTAATGTCCCTTCCAACCCAACCCATTCTGGAATTCATGATTACATCAAAAGAGATTTAATTCAGACCAAAGGATTCCACTGATGGATTTTGACCCGAGGGATGGATCCAAGAGCTGCCCAGGCATGTTTGGGATGAATGATCTCACCCAATCCTCCATCCCTGACCCACACCACTGGCACAAAGTAAATGTGGAAAATGTAACCAGGGGGGTATTTCCCCAAAATGTTGCTGTGTCCATTTGCCACCTCAGGTCAGTGCTGAATTATTCCCACCATTTCAGTGCTGAATTAGGGGCTCTTGTGCTCCCATCTGAAGTCCTGTCACGTTGTCCAGAGAAGCTGTGGCTGCCCCTGGATCCCTGGAAGTGTCCAAGGCCAGGTTGGAGCAACCTGGGCTAGTGGAAGGTGTCCCTGCCCATGGCAGGGGGTGGCACTGGATGATCCTTAAGGTCCCTTCCAGCCCAATCCATTCCATGATTCCACGATCCAGTAAAACTTTCGATGGGAAGAGGGGACATGGGACGACTCAAACCACCAGATGACCCCCCAATAGATGCAGATGAGGACCCAGAAATAACCAAACCCTGAGCAGGGATGGATTAAAACACAGGGATAGATCAAAATCCCTCTGGGGATGTTCCACTCCTCCTTGCCTCCAAACCCTGGAAATCGAGGGAATTTTCCAGCTGGATTTTCTGGGCAGGCCAATCCTCGTGTATCTCCCTTTTTCACAGAGCTGGGGGATGTTTCCCCCAAAAAAACACTTGAGGAAAACTTCAAAAAGGCACTTTGGTGGCACCAGAATATTTGGCAAATACACCCGAGATTTTTGCAGAGGGCTTTCCAATAAAAATCTGAGAAGGATAAAGAAAATGACTGGTTTCAGCTTTTTAAAATTAATTCCCTGTTTGGATTGTTTTGATCTGAAGCAATTAATTATCTCTGAGGGTTCTTTCCTTCTTATATAGAAAAAAAAAATACCCTGAAATCATTAAGGGTTGGAATTACTTCAGTTTGGGCTAAAGAGAACATTTTGACCAATCTGGAACAGTTTTTCTCCCTCATTTCCAACTAAAACTGTCATCAAGTGGAAGACAAAACCCAAACCTGTTTTCATTCTTAATGAAAATGACTTTTCCCCCCCAAGAAAATTTGGCAACTGCTCAGTGGCCCCTAAAATACGGGATTATATTGTTATTTTTTTTTCAACATTTTTTGGAGGGGCAGTTTTCTCTTCCACTCTTTTGTTCTGCAGCTGCCAGGGAACAACTTCTCTGCAATTAAAGAGAAAAATCTAATGGGTTTTGGAGCCTTTGAAGACAAAGAGGCAGCTTTGGTGGGTCTGGATTGCTGGAGGCACCTTAGAGATCATCTCATCCCACCTTCCACTAGCCCAGGTTGTTCCAAGCTGGCCTTGGACACTTCCAGGGATGGGGCATCCAACATTTCTTTGGGTGTTTGGACCAAACTGGTGCAAGTTGTGCAAAGCAAAGGCTGGTGCAGGTGGAAAGAGGTGGATTGGGAGGGTTTGCTCTGCTCTCATAGGGTGATTTCAACACAATTCTCATTTTCCTGCTGAGTTTTCCCTTTCCAGTCCTTACCTCAGACCAACCAGGACCCGAGAAGTGTTTTTTTTATCACATTATTTCTGCTTTATCGCTGAAGGAACTTGCCCAGAATCACAAAGGGCTGCAAGGACCTTGAGGATCATCAAGTCCAACCACCAACCCACCACTAAACCACCTCCTCAAGGGTCACATCCCCAGGTTTTTGGAACACTTCCAGGGATGAGGACTCCCCCACTGCCCTGGGCAGCTCATTCCAATGCTTGACAGCCCTTTCCCATGCAGAAATTTGTCCTTAAATCCAATTTGGGGAAATTTGGGGAAATTTGCCCCCTCTGGTGCAACTTGAGGCCGTTTCTTTGCAGCAACAGCAAAACAAACCCTGCAACTTGGCAGCTTTTTGAAAAGGAGGGGATGAGAGAGTGATAAATAGGTCATGGTTTGATAGTTTTTGGGGGTTTTCAGGGCTCTGCAGCAGGTCCTGCCCTAGAAATCCTTTGCAGAAACACATCCTGCCTTGGAGATTTCTGAGAACTCATCTTCTGAGACCTCAGCCAAGATATTTGTCTGCTCCTGGTGTGGCTGTGGCTCAGAAGGCTTGGTTGGTGTCTCTAATTGTGTGTGTGGAGGGTTTTGTCTGATTTATAGATGAGGAAACAACATCTCCTCGGGGCTGTCCCGTGTTCCAGGTGCGTGTACCAGGGGGGGAAGGGAGAACTTCCCCCTCCAGGCAGCATTCCCGTCATCCCTCCAGCCATTCCCAGCCTTTATTCCCCTCTCCAATCTGCCCCTGGAAGAGCAGGGAGTCGTTCCAAACACGCCCTGGATGTGGAGCAGCCCCGTAACAAGATCTGCATTTCTCACATAGCTGCGAAACCTCCATCAATGTGGTTTTAATCACCATTTGTGTAACGTGCAATAACTATTAAATTGAAATTAAATGCCCGGCTCGGAATATGCACGAGGCCCTGGACAATGTGCTAACTCTTCCCAAATTGCTGGAAAGCTGGACTGTAAGGATGTAAGGAGTATTTGTTCCTCCCATAAACCAGCTCCATCTTAACGTGGAGATGGGGAAAAATTGGTGAAATGAGAGGAGGGATGGGGGGAGAAATAAAAACTTGGGGTTTCCCTGAAGTTTTTCAGACAGAGGTGCTTGGGTGCACTTTTCCCTGGAGTTTGTGCTGACAGGATGGAAAAAGGCAGTGGTGGGTGTTCCCTGTGGGAAGTGGAACCACACAGGTTGTGGGTTGGATGGAGATGGGAGTCAGGAAATCACCCTGGGATCAAAGATGGGTTTAGAGTGGAAAAGACCTTTAAGATCCTGGAGTCCAACTGTTCCCCAGCACTGCCAAGGCCACCACTGCCCCATGTCCCCAAGTGCCACATCCACGGGGCTTTGAAATGCAGGTTTATAAACTCATTTCTCACTTCTGCTTTCTCTGCCTGCCTGGGGGTTCAATGGGGCTGTGCTTGTCAGAGCACACAATGGATATCAGGGAGAGCATTGGGAAGGAATTCCTGGCTGGGAGGGTGTAAGGCCCTGGCACAGGTTGCCCAGAGAAGCTGTGGCTGCCCCTGGATCCCTGGAAGTGTCCAAGGCCAGGCTGGAGCAACCTGGGCTGGTGGAAGGTGTCCCTGCCCATGGCAGGGGGTGGAATGGGATGATCCTGAAGGTCCCTTACAACCCAAACCACTCTGGGACTCTCTAATTTTCTACAGGGAAGTTTTGGCCCATTGCAAAGTAGTCCTGGGTTACAGAGGGATTATTTTGGGAACCCTGTGAGTGTTGGGAAACAAAAGCAGAGCTCTCTCTGTCCCCCCTGTTATCACAGGGTCTCTTTGGCAGCTTGATCCTGTTTCTTTTCCAAGACAGCTGCAGGGCAGGAGCTGTGACAGTTTGAAGAGGTCCAGCTACTCTTTGATTTTTCAGGAGCTGGAAGTGCCTGAGGATGGAGTGGATTTGCTGGGGGGGTTGACAGTTTGTGCTGTTCCATCCCTGGGATGGAATGATCTTCAGCTGAAAGAGGGCAGGTTTAGATCAGGTGGGATATTGGGAAGGAATTCCTGACTAGGAGGGTGAGGAGGGACTGGAATGGATTTGCCAGAGAAGCTGTGGCTGCCCCTGGATCCCTGGAAGTGTCCAAGGCCAGGTTGGAGCAACCTGGGCTGGTGGGAGGTGTCCCTGCCCGTGGCAGGGGTGGCACTGGATGATCCTTAAGCTCCTTTACAACCCAAACTGTTCCAGGATTTTCTGGAGGTATTTGGGGTGGTGGTTGCTGCAATGGTGGAGAAACACAACCCCCTTGAGACAGAGTTGGGAGAGTGGGATCTTTGCATCCTGTTTCTGTCGTGCTGCATTTGGGAAAACCTGAATATTTCCTGCCCAACCCATTCAAGGCTTCAGGATTATAGAAAAAGGGATTCAGTTCAGACCAAAGGATTCCATTGATGGGTTTTGACCTGGGAGATCAATTCAAGAAGCCAAACCTTTGCTTTGGTGGGTTTTGGGAGTTCTGGTGACAGAACAATGAGAGATGGAGGACGAGGAGGAGCCAGGCAGGTGAAGGCAGGGATACGTGGGATATTGGGAAGGAATTCCTGACTAGGAGGGTGGGGAGGGACTGGAATGGATTTTCCAGAGAAGCTGTGGCTGCCCCTGGATCCCTGGAAGTGTCCAAGGCCAGGTTGGAGCAACCTGATCTAGGGGAAGGTCTCTTCCCTGGACCTTCCCACCACCACGAGCCAGAGACTCCAGCAGTGTCTCCTCCCCTGCCTCAGTTCCCTGGGCTTGATCTGGTCCCTCTTTGTGTCTTGCAGGTCGAGTTCACCCCCGACCAGATCGAAGGTGAGGAAGATGTTTCTCTTCTCTGCACGATAAATCCCATCCCTGGGAGGTGCTGGCAAGTCCTGGGATGAGCAGGGGGTGGGGGTGACATTGGAGCAACCTTGGGAAGGCTGTGCTTTCATTCCTGGCTTTTCTTGTGCTCTGTCCCTCGTCCAATTCCTGTGGTGAACTGGTAAAGAAAAGGGAGAAAACCATGGACCATTTAGAGCAGTTACACCCCCAAAACCTCACTCCAAAGATGTGCTTTTACTTTTAGAAAAAAAAAAAAAAAACAAACCTAAAAAAACCCCCATGAATCCTTTCAAGAGAAAGTGCCCCAACCCTCTTTGGAGAACTTTTCCCCGTATTTAATCAGGATTTAATGTGTTCCAGTTCTCCAGAAACCGGCAAATAATGACAGAAATGGCTTTTCTTTTTCTTCTTTCAAAGCAAAACATCAGCATTCATTTCTAAAACCCAAGAAACTGATACCAAAACCTCAGGCCTGAAATCTGGGAACGCTGTGCCTGCAGCTGTCCCCATTTTTTTCCTCAACTACCAGCCTGCTTTTTTTTTAACTTCCAGGATAATTGATGGATGGAATCAAACATCTGGGAGAACTTTGCTTTGGTGTTTAAGCACTTGGCAGGGCCTGGAAAAGATGGTATCAGAAAATGGGGCTAATTGGAACAGGAAAAAATAAATCAATCAGGGAGGAGAGATACAGAAGGGAGGATTTTCTGTACTAGAAAATGCCATAATATCCTGGAGGCTGAGGCTTTGCCACAAACTTCCAACATTGTGGATTTTCAAGCCCCCCCTTTAATGGCTTTAGTTTCTATTTTCTAACAACAGCTCAAAAAGTAACTCAAGACTGGACACAGCTTTTAATTTCTGGGAATTTGCCCCTTTTCAAGTCCCAAAGTCAAGGGGGAACCATAGGAGAGGCAGGACTCCGAGCTCCAAACCTTGGGATCATTCCAGCAGCACAAAACATCTGGATAGTTTCCTCAGCTGAAGTTTTGGGGGATTGGAAGGGATGCTCCTCATTTATCAGTGCCTTGTTTTCTCTCTCCCCGAGGAGAACAAGCTCCAGAGATTCCGTCAGGGAATGGGAAAAGACACGTTCGGAAAAATTGGGATGCTTGTCTGGCCACCAGCCCGTTGGGATGGCCGGGAAAGGACAGATTTGGAGGGAATCCAGGGTGGTCAAAAAGGGATCAGGTCTCAAAACCACACCTGGAGATATATTATTTATACAATATATAAGAATATATATAATATCTATTTATATATTTATATATAATGTATGATATATAAATATTTATATAATATAATCTATATAATCTATATTTATATTTATATTTATATTTATATTTATATTTATATTTATATTTATATTTATATATAAATAAAATAAAATGAAATTAAATAAAATTAAATAAATAAGATGCAACAACCCTTATGTATTTTTATATATAAAATATATATATTTATATACATTATATATATTATATATTATATATATATTTATATATTTATATATATTTTATATATTTATATATATAAAATATATATAATAATGTATAATAGTCACCTCTCCTCTCTCTGTTGACCCAATGAGTACTCAGGTGTCCCAGTGAGACTGGATGCTTCCCAGTTTTTCAGCTGATCCCAGAGCAATGGGAATTCCACCCTCCCTCAGATATCACTGATCTTCTCCATTGACCCAACTGGTTTCTGGCAGCTGATTCTGAACTGAGCTGGTGGAGGAGAAACAGAGGCTGCAGCACCTCAAGCTCTTTTCCAACCCTTCCAGAACACTCCAAACCCCTTTCCTCTTGCTAAGGAGAAGACTTTGATGCCCCAAGGAGTCCCTGAAGGGATTCATTATCCTGTTGGTCCCCAAATTGTTGCTCTGAGGAGCAGAACGGGCTGTGGGTGAAGCTCCACACCCACCTCTCCGTGCCCTGCTGCCTCAACCACCAGTGAAACCCAGCCCTTGTGGCCACATGTGTTTATAAAACTGCATTTCTGGCCTCTTGAGCCCCGAAAATCGCTGAAAAGGGCAGAATAGGAGCTATTCAAGATGAGCAGAGGGGTAGTAATTAGCCAGCTGAAAATATCCAGCGCTGCTGCCGGCGGTTTCAGGGCTCGCAGGAGGGCAGAGGACACCCTGGCCAGGCTGCTTTGGTTGCTTTGATGGGGATTTGCATCAAGTCAGCAAATGCAAATGACAAAAAAAATAGAAATAGAAGGGAAAAAAATGAAAATTTGAGCTGGCAGCGACTGGGATGGGCTGGGAACGTTTGGGGGCTGCTCAGGCAGGAGGTGAGTGGTGGGGGGATGAGGAGCTCAGGGGGGTGGGTTTGTCCTCCAGCTCGGGAGCTGAGACCACCAGGACAGGCCGGAGCTGGGAAAGGGTCTCTGAGCCCTTCCCACTGCCAGCAAGGAGCCCGGGAAAATCCAAGGTTGCCCTCTGCTGGAGTGAGGGGCTGGCAAAGGGACCGGGGACAGGAGCAAAGAGCCGGGAGAGGAGAATGCAAAGAAGAAAACAAGGGGAATGTTAATTAGTCCCAAGGGAGAAAATGTTGTTTGAAAGTCTTGGATGAAGAAGGAGATGAGTAAGATATGAGTGGAATGATAAAAATGAAAAGAGAGGGACAAAGGAGGAGAAGCAAACCCTGAGGGAGGAACAGAGGGGAATAAGCAAAGGAGAAGAGAGGAAAAAAAAGGGGGAATGGGATAATGAGGAGAAGGGATTGAGAAGGGAAAGATGGAGAAAATCTGGTGAGCAGAGTGAAGGGCTGAGTGGTTGAAAAGGTCAGGACCTCGGGAAAAGAGGGATAAACTCACTGTGTGTGGGAAGTGGGAGGGGAATTGTGCAGAAGAGCAACAGCAGGACGAGGGTGGGATTCAGGGATTCAGGGCTTTAAAGCCAAGGGGATATTTGGGGTTCTATGAAGTAAAGGATAAAGGATAACAGTAGGGGTAAAGGATCAAGGATGGTAGTAAAGGATAACAGCCTGTTATTGCACCCTGAGGTGTTCCTCTGCTTCTGCAACTCCAGCAGGGAGAGGAGACCTGAGGAACTGGTGTGTCCTGGGCTCCTGCCCGGACTCCATTGGAATCACAGGATCATTTCGGTTGGAAAAGATCCTGAAGATCATCAAGCCCAACCACCAACCCACCACTGCCAAGTCCAGCACTAAGCCATGTCCCCAGGCACCACATCCACAGGGAATTGGGGGCAGAACAGGGACCATCTCCCATGGGAATGTTTCTACCAGGATGCTACTGCAAAGAGCCTCAATTTAGGGCTGGAAGAAAAGACATGAGGATGTTCCCAAGGATGTTGTGGGAACCTGTTCTGGGATTCTGGGATAAGGTTTTCCACATAACTTCACCTTCCCTCACCAACCATTTGTTGGGTGATAATTCCAGTTTTTGATCATGGCATATCTTGTTCATAATTCCAATTTTTCATCATGGCATTTCTTGCTCATAATTCCACTATTTAATCATGGCATACCTTGCTCATAATTCCAGTTTTTGATCATGGCATTTCTTGCTCATAATTCCAATTTTTGATCATGACATTTCTTGTTCATAATTCCAGTATTTTATCATGGCATATCTTGCTCATAATTCCAGTTTTTGAACATGGCATATCTTCTTCATAATTCCAATTTTTGATCATGGTATTTCTTGTTCATAATTCCAGTATTTAATCATGGCATTTCTTGTTCATAATTCCAGTGTTTGATCGTGGCATATTTTGCTCATAATTCCAGTATTTGTTCATGGTATATCTGCTTCATAATTCCAGTACTTCACGATGGCATTTTTTGTTCACAATTCCAGTATTTCCTCATGGAATATCTTGTTCCCTGCTGATGGAAATGCTCCTTCAGCTCCGGGGGCTGTTGCTCTCCAAGTGCCTCACGTTTAACACAGTATCCAGTTATCCCAGGAGCAGAATTCCTGCAGTATCCTGGGCCTTCCTGAGGAGCTGGAAAGCTCTCAAGGCCAACCATTCCTACCCTGTTTTCTGCATTTGAACTGAGGAGGAAATACCAGGAGAAAAGCATTTGACCTCTCCGATCCCATCCCTGATGGAACCGGAAAACCCAGGGGAGGAGGAACACAAACCCTGCAGATAACAGAGGCAACAAAGCTCATCGAGGCTGTTCCCAAACTCCCAAATAAAAGGCTCAGGCAGATTTGTCTTTGGAATGAATTTCTCCTTCTCTTTTTGCCTCCCAGAATTTAAGGAAGCGTTTTCCCTCTTCGACCGGACCCCGAAATCGGAGATGAAAATCACTTACGCCCAGTGTGGGGATGTCCTGAGAGCTCTGGGGCAGAACCCCACCCAGGCCGAGGTCATGAAGCTGCTGGGCAGACCCAAACCAGAAGGTTGGTGCCCTCCCGTTGTGTGTGTGTGTTTTGGAAAAGGTCACTCCAAGAATTATCCGTGAGATCTCCATTTTTCTGATGGAGATGTTAATTTTGGGACAACAAGGGCTGTGATCAGAAACATAAATGAGGAAAGAAGTGGCCTTGCAGTCAACAAACTGAGGAGAGGAGTTTAATTTAACCCTGTACATCAATGTGTTTTACAATGATAAGTTTTTCTCTTTTAAAATTGCTTTGATGGCAGGAATTTGTGTGTGTTGACTAAAAAATACAGATATTCCAAAGCCATCCCGAAAAACAAAGGGATGGACTGGTTGTGAGGGCACAGATAGTTCTAAAAAAGATATGTGAGAAGGTGTGGGGTGTTTGCAGAAATACCTCCCTGTTTCTATACTCTTCTCTCCCCTTTAACTGGAATTTTGGGACAGTTCTTGTACCCGTGGTGGATGGGGTGGTGGGTGTCCCATGGTGGGTGTTCCATAGTGGATATCCCATAGTGGGTGTCCCACAGTGAGTGTCCCATGGCTGATATCCCATGGATGATGTCCCATGGTGGATGTCCCATGGTGAGTGTCCCACAGTGGGTATCCTACACTGGATATCCCATGGTGGGTGTCCCATGGATGGTGTCCCATGGCTGATGTCCCATGGTGGGTATTCCAGAGTGGATATCCCATGGATGATGTCCCATGGTGGGTGTCCCATGGCTGATGTCCTGTGGTGGGTATCCCGTGGTGGGTATCCCGTGGTGGGTATCCCATGGTGGGTGTCCCATGGTGGGTGTCCCATGGCTGATGTCCCATGGCTGATGTCCCATAGTGGGTATCCCATGGTGGGTGTCCCATGGATGATGTCCCATGGCAGATGTCCCATGGTGGGTGTCCCATGGTTGGTGTCCCATGGTGGTGTCCCATGGTTGGTGTCCCATAGTGAGCATCCCATGGTGAGTGTCCCACAGTGACTGTCCCATGGCTGATGTCCCATAGTGGGTATCCCATGGTGTGTGTCCAATGGTGGGTGTCCCACAGTGGACATCGCATAGTGGGTGTCCCATGGCTGATGTCCCATGGTGGGTGTCCCATGGTGGGTGTCCCATAGTGGGTATCCCATGGTGGGTGTCCCACAGTGAGTGTCCCATGGCTGATGTCCCATGGCTGATGTCCTGTGGTGGGTATCCCATGGTGGGTATCCCATGGTGGGTATCCCATGGTTGATGTCCCATAGTGGGTATCCCATGGTGGCTGTCCCATGGTGGATATCCCATGGCTGATGTCCCACGGTGGGTGTCCCATGGCTGGTGTCCCATGGCTGGTGTCCCATGGTGGGTATCCCATGGTGGGTATCCCATGGTTGATGTCCCACGGTGGGTGTCCCATGGCTGATGTCCCATGGTGGGTATCCCATGGTGGGTATCCCATGGCTGATGTCCCATGGTGGGTGTCCCATGGCTGGTGTCCCATGGTGACCCCTCAGCTCTCGCAGCCTCCAAGGAAACATTGCTCTGCTCCGTGTCCTTGCAGAGATGAACTCCAAGATGATTGACTTCGAGACCTTCCTGCCCATGCTGCAGCACATCGCCAAGACCAAGGACACGGGCACCTACGAGGACTTCGTGGAGGGGCTGCGGGTCTTTGACAAGGAGGGCAACGGGACGGTCATGGGGGCTGAGCTGCGCCACGTCCTGGCTACCCTGGGTGAGAGCTGCTGCAGCTTAGTTATTTTATTTTATTTTATTTTATTTTATTTTATTTTGTTTTATTTTATTCTATTCTATTTTATTCTATTTTATTTTATTTTATTTTATTTTATTCTGCCTCCATTGGAACTC